AAAAAAATGCATGAAAGGTAGTTTAATGAAATACACAATGACATAAAAATAAGCTCATATTCATCAAAATATTACCTTTTAAAATACTTAAATTACTAAATTTTTAATATTTAAATTATTATTACAGCAAGGTTCTTTGAAAATCAAGTAAAGAAAGTACTTCATGGAGAGAGTGAGAAACTGGTAAGTGAGATGAGAATCAAACAATTTGATCAAGTAGAGATCACTGTTGACTCAAGAAGGGTAATTTCAGTGGAGTGAAGGGAGGCAAAGCCTCAATGGTATGGGTTCCAGAGCTTCCCAAAGGAGAGAAAGTGGAGACAGTGTATACAGATTATTCTTTTGAAGGATTTTTGCATGAAAGAGAGAAAAAAGTAAAGTGATAAGATTGCTGACAAGAAACAACAAGCAGGGAAGAAAAAAAACAGATGACGATAAGAACGGAAGGTTCTGGATTATGGTTTTTAAGGTGTGTAATTTAGCCTTATTAAATCGTAGTGTACAAGATCGGTTGAAGAAAGAAGACTGAGGTTTTTACAAGTATTGTCAGGTGATAAAATCATTGTAAAACAAAAATAAAAATGTGTAATTACTGTGAAAAAGGAAACAGATGTATGGAATTACAAAGGACATCTCCAGATTACTTCACTTCTGTATGAGAAAGTAGTACTTATTAAATACTTGGATTTACATTTAGAAGTGACCAAGAAATCACAAAGCAGACTGGAAATGTGGCTCAAGTAGTAGAGTGCCTGCTTTGCAAGCATGAAACGCTGAGTTCAAACCCAGTCCCACAAAAAAAAAAAAAAAGAAATCACAAAGCAAAAAAAACTAACAAATTTAAGGGCTGGGGATATAGCTCAGTGGTAGAGCATTTGCCTAACATGCACAAGGCTCAGCACCACCACAACAGAACATCTAAAACAACAGAACAACAAAAGCCAACACCAAAAAACAAGTTGAACTGTTACTAAAACTATAAACTGTACAACCAAAATTAAATATCTAAAAAAAGACTTAAAATTAGATTAGAAACATATTTGCATTGAAAGTGACATGTTGATTCCTTATTATGTAAGCTGCTCAGACAAAACAAGTAAATTACCAAGTAACCAGGAAATAAATGGGCAAAGTGTATACAGACTGTATATACAGAGATATAGTAAATAAGTAAATATTTAGACAAATGTCAGTCTTGATAGTCAGAAATAAAATACAAAAAAATTGAAATCTGTTCTACTCATTAGGTAACTAAAATATATAACATCCCCAAATTCTGCCTACCTTGTAATAAGAAAGTCCTTATATTGAGGCTGGTGGTGTGGCTCAAGCAGTTGAGGGCCTGCCTAGCAAATGTGAGGCTCTCAGTAGGGGGAAAAAAAGAACGCAGTCCTTATAGATTGCTGGTAGCAATGTAAGATATTAAAGATACTAATATCCTTTTGGAAAACAATTTGGCAATTCCTACCAGTGGTCATATTTATCATAAGAAATGCTTCAAAAGTTTATGTAAAAGGTGTCCACTGTAGCATAACAGTTGTATGATAGCATTACTTACAGTAAATCATCTAAAAGCAAAATTAAAAAAAAGACAAATGAGGTAGCTATGAAAATTATCAATATTGGCCTGATCACATAGAAGATTTCAGAGTAACATGGAAGTTGCCTGCAATAAATGTGTAGTATAAAACTTACTCTATAACTGTCACCTAAATACAGAGAATCAAAGATAAAAATTGAAAATAGTTTAAACCATCAATATCTTGGATTTTAGGGTAGTATTTTCTTCTTTGTTCTGACAACTAGTAGCACTTATGAAATACTTCTGTTCTGGACTATGGACGTTATGATAAGAATGCATTTAACCTTATGGGGTAGGTTATGGTCAATAAATGGCAAACCTGACATTTGAATTCAGGCAATCTAGCTTTAGTCCTGATCTTAATTAAAATTCCGTATCATATAAATAAATTTAGAAAAGTTAGGGAAAAATGGGATTTCTTGCAATTTGTGAGTCATGTTTACAAAGGTATGTGTGATATCATACATGAAGATAGTATCATGTAGTAAACTCAGATAACCCATTCCTTAAAAATTGCTAACCTGTCAATCTTGCCTGCAAAGTTGAATTTATTATAAATGTTTTAAGATGGAGGAGACTAAGCTCTGATGAGTTTAGTATGTTGCCTAAGACCACACAGCTATTAGCTGGCATCCTCCCAGCATTACACTGCAAGGTCTGGAGAGAATGTGCTCATGCCTTCTGGGAGTTCTGGTTATAGAGGTTCCTTTGTTCCTTGCTCTTGCCACCAGAGGTTTTTGTTGAGAGAATTGCCTGATCTTGCTCAGGATGAGCTGGCTGTTTCAGTGGGTTAGGAAGAATGTAGTAAATTCTATCTCCCAGAGTGAAAGATGTGTCCAAGTTTGTATATATGAAGGGATTGCTTTTTATGTTTAAAGACAGAAACTGAGGAGCAAAGCAGAATAAGGTAAGGATGCTCATGCTCCCTGACAAGTGTGCTTTCTAAGGTGCTCAAGATTCAATAGCTCATGATAGTCAGCACCTGTCACTTGATACATTTTTCCATGACCTTTTTCTTCTTTACCTCTTTGCTCCCTTTCCTTTGCCTCAGACCTTAAATCCTGTAAACTCTAGCACTATGGGTTGTAAAGCCCCTCTCTCCAGTCAGGGTACCTCCTAAGGGGGTCTCTGTCTACAGGGTCTCTCAATTGCCCACCACTGCACACAACAATGGCAGAGAATCTTCCAAAGCAAAGCTGATGCTGCCTTAACCTATCTCTTCTTCCTTGAGGGGAAGGTTCCGAGCTTTCTTTTCCAGCTTTTGCTGTCTCTAGAAAATCCACTATAACTTATCTGGGCTCTCCCTCCTCTGGGTTTTGGCTCACACTGATCCCTGTATCAGAAATTCTTTCCTTTTTCCTCTTTGGCTGTCTAGATTAGGTTCATTCTTGAAGGCCCATTTCAAATGTAATCTCTTGCCTTCTTCGATGATTCTCCAACTAGATATAATCCCTTCCTTGTCTAACACTGGGTGTTACACTGGCTATAACTCTTACAGACTTGACATTCTGACCTGTACTGAACTGTCAGTTCCACTATCACCTACCTGTTACTGACCTTTGTATTGCTGTAGGTAGCACTAAAAAAGGACATTCATATTCATAATAGTCACTGATCAAAACCAAAGATCTGGTTTGAGGGCTGTGAGGCCCTGAGTTCAAACCCCAGAAAGACCAAAAAAACAAACTCCTCTACCCCCCTCCATCAACCCCTTCCCCCAAAGTGTGATTTGAGTAATGCAAAGTTAAGTAAAAGTGCCTCCACAATTTTCTACCAGTGGAGGAATTGATCAAAGAACCCCGGAGAGGTCTTTTTTTTTTTCAGGAGGCAGAAATAGGAGGATCACGGTTTGAAAGCCGCCCCAAACAGTAGGGGAGACCCTATCTCAAAAAAACCCACCACAAAAAAGGGCTGGTGGAGTGGCTCAAGAGGGTAAGAGCACCTGCTTAGCAAGCGTGAGGTCTGAGTTCAAAACCCCAGTGCCACCAAAAAAAAAAAAAAGTATCCTGGATTATGTAAATGACAGACTCAAAGATTGGCCTGGAAAAGGCTAAAAAGCAATTTAAAGGCATTTGTGGTCTAATTGTGTTTACTTCTTTGACTTTTGGCTTTGTTCAGATGAACTCAGAAGTTCTGGGACTTTCTAAGTCTCAGACTGTCAAATTTTGAATGACACATTGCAAATTCGGTTAAACAGGACTACAAAGAAATTGTCTTAACAAAGTGAGAACAAAACTCAGAAAATTTAGTTCCTTCTCCCGAGTGAAACAAAATTTTTAAAAATCTGGTAATGTTATTTATTTATTTATTTTACCCCAAGTAATAAAGCCCACCAGAGAAGGCTGTCGCCTCACATAAATATCTCATAAAGGTACCGAGATAACTGTTTCTACAGGGATCATGACTAATCCAGGGCCCCTGGTTGTAACTATGTCACTGCTATTTATTTATTTTTTGGGGGGAAGGGTAAAGGCTGAGAGATCAGTTTAAATTGTATTCAAAACAAATGCTTGTACACAATGAACAGCACAACTCAACGAGTATTCTTTGTATCTTCAGTCTAACACTCTCCCGACAGAGCTATTTCGGCAGGCTCAACGAGTATCTTCTTATGGACCTGTAGCTCCTGAAGAGTACGATGAAATCAACCCGTGATGTGAACAAAGGCACCAGGCAGCTGCAAACTCTCAATCACTTAGCAAATAAACCGCCCAAACAGGGCCAAATTCAGGCAGACGGGTGTCGCCTTTCAATAACACAGGTCTTCAAACTGGGGACAAGTGAGACCCTTTCCCAGGGCTCCCGAACCGGGAGCGAGCGGTCTCGGGTTTTCAACAAACCTCTCCTCCTACCCCACGTGACCGAACGGCAAACAGCCGCGGAGAGAGACACCGCCACGCACAAGCCGGGGGATACAAAGGCTGGGCGCCGCCGCCGCCGCCACCACATCCCCGGGCAGATTAAGGAGCGTCCCGGCCGCGCTCGTTGTCTGCGGAGCTTGCGTAGGGCGCCGCCGCCGGGCACGCCGCTCCGGGTCCCGCAGGGCGGTGCCGCGCAGCGCAGGAGCGGGAGGGAACGGGGAGCGCGCGCCGCCGGCTCCTGCGCGCCTGCCCACCCAGCGTCGCCGGAGCGAGGGCGCCCGCCGCACGCAGCCGCGCGGAGCTGCTGTCGCTGCCGCCGTCGCCGCCGCCGCCGGGCCGACACCCAACGCAGGGAGCCCCGCAGCGACTAGGACCAGGGTGAGCACACCGAGGGTCCCCAGCACCCCCTCCCCCCCGCCCCTCCATCCCGGGCAGGCCAAGGTCGGGCCGCCCCACCCCCGCGGCCCGGGCCTTTCCTTTCCTCCTGGTTCATGCCCCTCCCCACGTCTTCCCCAGGGGTCTCGCGCGGACTGCGGGGCGCCGTGAGGGGCACTTACACTACGGCTCTGGAGATGATCCAGGACACCATTTTCCCCGGAGCTACGGCCCCAACTTCGGGGCGGGTGGGAGCTGAGCGCGGCGAACTAGGCCGCCAACGGCAGGCCGCGCGCTCGCCGGCTCTCGCGCTTCCCTGGGCCGCACTGGCGCCCTCGGGAGCCGGGCCGGGTGTGTGCGCGCGGCGGCCCGAGCTGCGCGGCGGTCGGTCCCCCGTCCGCCCCCGCCCGCCGGCCGAGCCGCCGCCGAGCTGGACGGCCCCGCCCCTAAGCTCCGCTGATAGGCGGCGGTGGCGGCGGCGGCGCGTTGGCCCGGCCCGGACCAGGACCCGCGCGACCCTGGCCACTGCTACACGGCCTCTGGGCCTCTGCCCTGCCCCCTACGCGCTAACCTTCCTTTACCAGGCTCCCCAGGTCCCAGGGACGCCCACCTGGCGGTGAGAGGTGGTGGGATGCCGAGGATCGCGGCATGGGGTGGGGGGCAGGGGTGGACAGTACGTATATGAAAATAAAATGTGAGCGGGAACTGTGTGTGATAGAACCATCGGCATCAGGCCTTGAGTCTGGAGAGGAAAGATTTTTGAGAAGTGCTTGGCCACGTCCGGTCCCCTGACTGTTTACGGAGGCCCAGCACCAAGGGCATCCTTGCAATATCGCGTTTTAAGGAAAGGCGAAACGCTGGGAGCTTGCACAGGCCTCACTGTGTATCGCCAGTCGCATGGTGCAATGCAGGGAGGGGCAGAGGACAGCCTAGGATTTGGTGTTTACTGTCGTGGGAGTAATGACACCGCTGCTCTGGGCCTCTCAGGGCACCTTTCCATTAGAGCTGTGCAAAGGCTGTTTGACAGATACAAGTCCCCAGTATTTTCCCTGAATTGCCGGATACTTAAAGCTTGACCTAGGAGTCCTGATTTCTGACCTGTTATTTATAAATGTTTTTTTGCGGGAGGTTGGATTACTGCTTACACTTTCCAGTTCTTGCAGATACTATCATTTAAAAGTAGAATTTTGAAACCTAATTTTTTGATGACAGTACCAAATTGGGAAAGTGTTCTTAAAGTTACTGGGTTTTGTTTTGTTTTTTTTAAACCTCCAGTTAAGACTGTAATAAAAGATAGTTCCAGTATTCAGATGCTGGGAAAAATAAAGGATGAAATATGAGCCAGGAACCTTTAATTAAAGTACTTGTAACTATTACGGCTTATTTTGTAACATACTGTAATTTACTCTTTTTGCTCCTCAGTTTCTCCATAATGAAAAGAGGCTAATAGTATTGTAGCCTACCTCTTGCTTTTCAGGGGTGAAGTGAGGCACTGCTAAATAACATGTTTAAGAAATTTTCTTACTTGCTTGGAATAAAACCAAGGGACGGGTGTAGATGATCCTGAATTCTTTTTTGTTCCCAGGGTCAATAAATTAAGTAATATTTTGATTATTAAGAAGGAAGCTCAGAGCTGGGGGTGGGGTAGCTTAATGGTGGAGCACTTGCTTAGCATGCAGGAAGCTCTGGGTTCCATCCCTAGCACCACAGGGGGGAAAAATAGAAACTCAGAAGCTGCTTTCTGCTCTTTAGTTCTTTTTACTAATTTATTCATATTAAGAATATGCATTTTTATTTCAGGAACTGCCATGATGATTTGCATTTGTTTTGAATCTTTTAGTTTTTTGCCATTATTCAGCATTATTTGTGGATCAGATGTGCTACATACACACAAGAGTTTTCTGGAAAACTTTTATCCAATAAAACTAATGAATTTGAAATGTCTTTTAGGTCCCTTCATGAACATGTCCTGAAATGTCTTTACATCCTTAATTTACTGCCTTCATTCCTAATGTACCCTTTCCCTGCCTCTCTTCTCTGAACCAGGCTGTATTTTCATGATCAGTGTGCTGTTGCCTGAATTTAATTTTTCCCTCAATGATTTACTTCCCATTCTCTTTCAGAGTCCTTGTTTTTCAATGCTGAATGCCAGGTCCCTGATTTTTCTCAGTGACAATTATTTATGATTTTCTCTGGGCTCCCATAACTTATTACTTAAATTTATGTACCTATATCATTCTGTTTACACTCATGTCTAATCTCCTGGGTGGATGGTAAAATGAGAACAGAGGTGATCTATGGATATCTTTGTGTTTTCCTGGTACCTAGCCAAGGACAGGGTAAAGGCCCAATAAAAATCCAGTCAAGTTTCTTGAATGTCAGACTTCAAAAAATTTCAGCCATGTACTGTGGAAGTCACTTAAAAATGTTTTTCTTTCTTGCTTGCTTTGAGGATCATCATTCACATATTAATTCACTGAGTTGTAATACATTAATGTTTTCAGCAGTTACTGAGATAGGTAGTACAACTAATTGCTCTCTGAAATGTCCCTGGACTGTTTTGTCTTAATTTTCACTTTATGCTTCTTACAGCTTCTGCATCTTCCATGTCCATTTTTTTTTGTTGTTGTTGTTTTTTACCCCTTTTGTTCTGTTTACCTGAAACAGTCCCCTTCTTCCCATCTCAGTAGGCCAGTGTGCTGCACAAATGTTGGATCATCCTGGCAATCTAAAAAGCCAGATAGTATTTACTTCAAAACTCTTTGTGTTTATTCTCTAAACCCATGCTTAGAGAAGTTAACTCTGTGGCCAATGATCACATAGCTCATAGGTAACAGAAGTGAAACTCTCTAATTCATGTTTCTCAAGCTTCAGTGAGAGATTGGCTGAATTGGGTCTTAAGGCAGTGGATCCCAAATGGGGATTGCTCTCTTAGGGGAAATTAGGAAGCATTTGTTGTTATAATGATTGAGGCTAACCACTAGTATTTGATGTGTAGGAGCCAGGGATGTTATACTTTTTGCAATGTGTGGGACAATCCTGAACAAACAGTGTCCTCCATGGTTTAGGAATATCCTGGCTGACATGTAATACTTGTAATTATCTGAGCCTGGAACTTCCACTTTATGTATAAAGTAATAGTTTTAACTGAAACAGAATTTTCATGTCTTTCCATCTGCAGCTGTTATGGTAAATTAAAGGAAGGTTTGTTTGCAGCTTGACCAAGAATTGTTTACAGTTTTGGGAAATTGTGTCACAAACAAGCTCTGCATTTAGTGTTACTATGCTCAGCCACTAATTACTAGTGTTGCCTCAGCATTCACATAGTGACATACATGCTTCTTATTGTAACTTATCTTCATTTCCTTTTTCCACTCATATCTTATTTAGGATAGATGGTTTTGTTTGAAATTGTAGGAAGATTTGTTATTTATATCATTTCAGATTGGTAAAGCAGAAATTGGAAAATAGTTTGTGAAAGGGGCACATTGAAGCTAACATGGTTGAGAACTGTTGGTTTAAAGTTAGAGTAACTTCATCTGAAGAGACCCTCTCAAAAAGTGAACAGCTTTTAGTGGTGGCTGTACTTTTGGTTATTGGATCTCAGACACTTGAGATCTGCTAAGTGGCCATTAGATAAGTGTCTTACTGTGTAAGGTAAGACTCTTGGGGTATTGGGAGAAAAGGAAGCAATACTTTCTAGTCAGAAGTTTTTATACTGTGGTCTTATTTTGGTATGTTTGTGATCATTTCATGTAGAAGATAGCTTTTTTTTTTTTCTCTTGGTACTGAGGTTTAAATTGACTTATGCTTACTAGGCATGTACTCTATAACTTGGGCATTCCCTCAGCCCAAAGAATTCTTTTTAAAGTACTGGATTTAATTGTTTTCATATGTTAGACCACTAGTATTTATGTGTTGTGCTATTGAGTGCTTCCTTATTTTTGTTCTGCAAAGATATTTTCTTCCCTGGATATTGAGTTTAATCATGATGGGAGGCAGTTAGGGTAAAGATCATTTTGTCAGGAGACCTAGTTCTCTTACTAGTGATGTGATTTTTGGCAAGTCTCAGTATGTTTCCTGTTAAATGCTGTGATGATCAAAATGTAAGGGGCTTTCAGACTTAAGGGTAATTAGATTCAAAAGAATCACTTTCTTCTACCACATTTTTGCCTGGTTGTCCTAGGAGATAATGTGAAATGTACATGTTCTGCATGTTAAAGAAGTTCATTTGTTAGCAGATCAACAGACTGGGAAAGTACCTAGGAGAGCTGGATGGAGAGCAGAATTACAGGGTACAGAGATAGTATCTAGTCATGTAATTATTAATGAGTATGCTAGTGAAACTGAATACTAGGTCACCTACCCAGTTCTAATGAGGGAGTATTCAATTTTATTTAGAAAAAGGATAAAATTAGTAAGTGTATCTACCTTTAGTAGTAATTTAAAAAATAGTGCTAGGGAGAGGACCTTATGACTGCTACTGCTAGATGAATACCTCTTGTTTTGCTTATAGCAGAGGTCGAGTTTGGCACCTCACATGAGAATTGAATTGTGACAAGTGAAAAATCAAATAAGTAGGATAAAAAGACTACATTCTGAAGTAAGTAGTCACTGTAGGTATTGATAATAAGATGCTTACCAGGTAGCATTGAGGAAAGAAAAAGCCATCTTTCATGGCTGGATCTAGGAAACACACAGTGAGGAATTGGCATTGTCTCAGGTTCTTTATATTTGAGGTAGTAGCCTCACCTAAAACAATTAAGGATTAAGACTAAGAGCATTTTTCCCCCCTTCAGGGAAAATTTTGTGCTTAACTATGTGAAGTGGCATATGGATTGAGTAGGAAAAAATAAAACCATCTTGATTTCATGATTGTGTAGAGAATTTGAAACAATCAACAAAAATACTCCTAGTACTAATAAGCTATTATAACAAGGTTGTTCGATACAGAGTTTATATGCAAAAGTCAATTGTTTTCCTGTAGGCCAGCAGTGAAAAAGTAGAATTTGAAATTAAAAATACAGTGCTATTTACACTAGCAATCCCCTCAAATAAAATTGTTAGGTATTAATCGAACAAGATATGTGTAAGATCCTTGTGAGAAAGCTGACAAATCTCTGATGAGAGCAATTAGGAAAACTAAATGGAGAAATACTCCATGTTCCTAGAGAGGAAAACAATATTATAAAGATTTTATTTCTTTCCAAATTCATCTGTAGACTCAATGCAGTCTTAATCAGAATCTACTGGGTTATTTTATAGATATAAACAAAGTGATTCTGAAGTTTTTCTGGAGGATGTGAGGGTGATCAGGCTGTGACATCTGTCACCCCATTGATT